ACAGTATACAGCTAAGCCACAGCAGTGTCCTGGAAAGGCCCCGCGGGGACTTCGTATTGTCACCTCGGATGGCAAGCTGACAGCAGAGCAAGGGCACAACGTTACCTTCTTGGTGCAACTGGAGGAGGTAGGGTCTATTTTTATATGGCCTCCTGGGTCTGAACTATGCCAGCATCAGATATTAGTGCAAACCAACTTTTTATTTGTACAAATATGTGCTATGGAAACAAGAACTTTTTCACACATGAGTGTCAACTTCTTGACATGGCAACTCTTAATGGAAGGATAAAAAGCCTCCTGCAGTTTCTACACAGCTTAATTCAATTTACCTCTCCCTTGAAAAAGATTAATGAAGACTTGAAGCAATCTCAGGCCCTGAACAGGTGTAACATGTGAAGTGCTCCAAAACTAACCTACCAGGAGCATGATTTTCTGTTGTGATGGTTTTCTTGATTCTGTATTCTACAAAACTCCTACCAAGTCAGAAACGTGAGATCTGAGAATAGGAAACTGATTCCTATTTACTGCTCAGAAACTTCAGTCAACCCATTTCAGTAAACTGCATATTCATTAACTCACCTACTGAACAAGCTCACACTGGTGTGCTCTTTTGATCATTTCTAGTACTGCTAAAATTAAATCTGTCAAACTGCTATTTCAAATCAGTAATTTGTTTGATAACTTGGCTTTACTGTTCAAAATCCATCCACCCTTTCCACTGTTCCTGCCTTGCTAACAAGAGCCATATCAACACAGCCCTTATTTGAGGGAAGGAGCCTATGGTGCAACCAATATAAAATTAATGAAATGCTGCCCTTTCCAAGCAGTTCAAACATAAAACAACAGTTCCTTACTGGAAAACAAGGTGAATTTATTCTTACCATTTTCATCTACAGCAAGGACACTTGCTCCCTTCCCTAAAAGTTCTTGAACTACAACTGTCAATCCATTTCGGGCAGCAACATGCAGAGGTCTGTGGAGAAGACAAGCAAACCGAGACATAAGCCCAAAACAAATTATAATATTTTAGGAACCTATAGTTTAAGATAAACTAACAATTTAAAATGAAAGAACAGGAAATTACGTACTCATATTTGTTCTGTCTTATGACATACTTCGTGACGGAAGGAATTGCTACCTACATCAAGCGTGCCATATTACATCCAAAAAAATTAAAAAGATCATCATCCTAAATGGGCAGCAACAGTTCTCCTGGTCTTAGAACTAATACATCAGCTATCTATAATCCTTCACTGAAATCTGAAGTTTAGATGGTGATATATCTGGGAAATATGGCCTATCACTGACAATAACCTTTTACAAGAATACAAGGACCACTAGGATGGTAGTCATGTTCTATTTGTATATAGCGTAGTTGAAATGTGATGCCTCTCTTTTAGACAGTTTGACCTTTAGAAACTAGAGAACTATCTGTCTCTGTAGATGGAATCATTTCCTCAGTTTACAAGGAATGAAGAGACCCAAAGAAAAATGCAGTACAACATATTAGTTACCTACCAAATATGATCTACTAAACATAACTTTATACTTTCAAAGCACCACAATCCATCAAGCCAAGTTCTCAGCTTTACCTCATAACATATAACAGCAAAATCTTCAAAAACCAGAGTCAAAAGAGAGGTGTCACAATTCTTCAAATACCTAAGGCAGCAATTTTAACCTTTTTAGACTCAAGGCACCCTTCAGAAAATGTTTTGTGAGTTTTCACTTTTTGACCGCAGAAAAATAGAGCTATCTTCTGTTGCAAATACCTAAAAGACCACAACAGGTCAGAATGGTTTTAATACTATTGATTCCTATTTGAAATCTTAGGTGTACCAACATGATTCACAAGATAAACCCAAACAGTGCTAAGGTTGCTTGGCATCTTTGAAAGGATCTCAAGACACCTCTGGCTAAGAATCATTGGCTTAGCAAAATAAGATACGTTTTCATTTAAAAAAAAGAAATTAAGCAAGAGGATTCACAGAATACCAAGTTAACTAGGTAGTTTTCTTCAGTTTCATATTGATTTTCAGTTATGAGAATTAACTGACCTCTCTACTTCGGAGAAAAAAAGAAAGTATACAGTATTGAAAAAAACAGGAATATGGTGATGGAGGGAAGGGAAGAAGCAGGAAAACTGGGAAAGAAAAACAAAAACTACCCATTGGCATCAGCTGAAAATACTAAAATTCAAAAAGTAGAGTAACTCTGCATAGCACAGATAAGCTGAAATCTCACCCGCAAAACTATTTAGAATTTGGGCCTACAGCTGACAGCACTGATACAGTTTATGATGCAAGGTGTCTAAAAACTAAATGCAACTTATACATTCTATGCCAATAAAACATTTTTAAACAGCTCAATTAATAAAGTTTTGTGCTGCTGAATGTAATGAGAGTCATCAGTTCCCCGCCCCCGATGCAGCATGGGCTATAAAATAGGATACAGAGAAGCCAAGTTGTTAGGAAAGAACCAGAAGAGCCTACAGCAGCCTAGATCGCCACTTCTGTCCCTATCCTCTGGCCTGGCCCTCAACTGTCTTTTTTCTCCCCAACCACTTCTGCTTTCCTTGTATTGCGGCAACCAGCTCCCCATCATCAAAAAGCTCCTCTCTGCTGCTGCTTGTAGCATGTTGCCTAACATCTAAGGTGAGAGGATAAGAGGCACCTTAGCTATCGTAATTCTGGAGTCAAAGCAACCTCCAGTGGGCAGAAGGTGGAACTATGAGAAAATCCCTGGGGCAACAAAGGGACATGCAATAGTTCAACAGGGATGCAGAAATGCAAGAGAGAACAGCTAAATTCTGTCAATTCAGCAGTGCCACTGATGTCAATCTTTTCTTCTGATTTCAAAGACACCATTAAAGCAATTTAAAGCAGTTTTGCTCTGTACCACCAAGATCACAGGCTGACTGATTTTGGAAAAAATGCAGGAGAAGCCATTTTTATTAAAACCCCTTCTTCACAGAACTACAGGATGTACTGAGAACTGAGGAATGAAATGCTGCTTACATTACCAATTTCCCTGATAGCTAGGCTGACAAAATAGCTTTAGCATTCCTTTAAGAAAGAATCTTTAGGAAGTACCTAGTCACATTGCTTTAAGTGGAAAAAAAATCCAAATTTCTTGTTCTATTTCAACAATTTACTTCTTTTTACCACTGTGAAACACCCTGATCCCAAATGTTGCCTGGGTATGCCTTTGAGAGACAGTCCTGGGGTGCTCCCACACCTTTGGGATGCCCTTCTGCCCCAAACCTCTCTCTGCTGTTGCTTGACCACTGCAAATATGATGAGATGAGCCAGAGGCCAACTCCTTGTTATGTGTATTATATACACTATAATATATATTAAGCACACACACGGACACAGACATGACGCAAAATTAGTATTTCATAACTCTCTTTTTAAACCAGAAAAAAGATGCCTATACAGAATTAAAACATAGAATCCTTGAGTTGGAAGCATAAGGCTTTTCTGGAATCTCTTTCACTTAACTGAGATGGAAACCAGGAGAGAGAGAGAGAGAGCGAGAGAGCTAGAGCGAGTGAGTGAGCGAGTGAGCGAGCGTCTTTAAATACAGCTGGAATGAAAAAGGCATCTTAAATATTCTTCTATTACATGCTTTTCAAATAAATTGAGAAAACTCACTCTAAAAAAAATGCATTTTCCTCATGAAAATAAAGTCTTAGTCTTAGTAAGAGCCAAAAACATTTTGAAAATTGAACTATGAAAAATTTTCAGTGGCCATACATACGTTTGCAAGGCTGCATTGGTGGCATTGATGAGGTTTCTATCTGTAATCTTCTCCAGTATTAACAAGGCACTAGTTTCATGACCCTAAGCATACAGCAAACATGTGTCATAACATATAATCCTTAGAAAATTGTTCTGTATATCTTTTTACAGTAGTCTGTGGAGTTTTACAAGCAAGACTTAATATTTGGACATAGTTTTCATTAACAACAAAACACCAATTGAGTCTCAAAATGCATACACACCTTGCTGCAAGCCAAATGAAGTGCAGTGTTTTTACTACCATCTTGCAAGGTCAGATCAGCCTTCGCGCTGCTAACCAGCACCTCTGAAGGAAGGAAGTTTGCATTAATGAAAAAGTTAAGTTATTATTGATTTAAATCTCTGTTAAAAGAAAGGTGAAAACCTAAATAAATACACTTTTAATTAAAAAAAAAATGTCTGACTACATAATGCATGGTAATTTTACAGGAACAATGCAACACTAATATCAAGAGTAAAACTAGAACAGAACTTTTTCTTTACCAACTGTATTGGTTTGCCCATTTTCTGCAGCCATCATCAAAGGCGTCTTCCCAGAAGAATCTACAGCGTTTACTTGAGCATTGTGGCTAAGGAGAAGCTGTAAACACTCCACATGATCTGTGAAAGCTGCTGCATGAAGAGGTGTTCTAAAAGGAATCAAAAGGACATTGGCTTAAGGTCCAAAAACATAAAAATACATTGTTTACAAGTAGAAACAGACTAATTCTGCAATTACATTTGGGTAGGCAGTCAGGGCACCCACATTCATTGTGGCTATTATAGGTAGAACTGTTATAATTTTTTCAATTTTTAATAAGCCTGAAAAAAAAGCATTTACAGCCACTGGCAATAAATTCAAAGAATTTATTTAGCAACACATTAATTCATGACATGCACAACCTAGAAAAATAAAAATGGACAATGAATTGGACCCTATCCAATAATAAAAATGCTCACTTTCCCCACACAATAAAAAGCTTATTCAAACCTTACTCAGTACAATAGGACTGAGATATTTCTTTGCAGGATTAGCTTTCTTACCCACTGCTGCACAAAAGAAGGTTTCTAAAGTATCCAGGACTATACAGAGCCACAGCAAAGTGCATTCCAAGATGCTTGCTGTAGCTTTTATTTCAAAGGGTGTGACTTCTCCGATCAGCTGTGCGCAACTACAGATGTGTCCAGCAGATCAGAGAAGAGACGCCCTGAAGGAAGTCATATCAAGCAGCTTTTTTATTATTATAAATTCAGCATCTGGCTGCAAATTTGTACCCAGAAACTAATGACCTACGTTCTACTGTACATGGTTTTTAAAAATAACCAATTACTTTTTTTAATAGTACGAGTAGAAAGGAGCTTCTAAAGGAGAGCTTAAAACACATGCTATGGTTTAAAAACCAAGTAGGCTGTGACAAATTGCAAAATCATAGCAAATATACTGCCCATGATATTTCTTAAGTGTAGTTATAAGACCTACCTTCCTTTAGAATCTGTTAAATTTACAATGCCAGCACCAAGAGTGTCAATTAACATTTCTGCAGCACCTTCATTGTCATTTATCCTATCAAAAATTAGACAGGCTATTAGTTACTGAATGTCATGGCTTTAGTTCAATATTGTAATAAGATCTGGTAATAGTAATCTTCCTTACACAGCACAATGCAATGGACTGAAAGAATTCCCTTCCATTTTCTGGAAAATTTCTTGTTCCAAAAGAAGCTCTACACAGCTGTCATGACCTAAATGAGTTTAAAAGTCAGATATTAAAAACAAAATAAGAAAAACACCATTTGAAGTTTATGATAATAATAAAGGTGAGGCAAATTAAATGAAATACTTGTTTGAAAGCAAAAAAAACCCCAACCAATCTTGAACGATGTTAGATTTGGCTGCACGTTGGAATGAAGAACGGTATGCCATGTTTTCAGGATTTGGAAGGCAGAAGCACTATTTCTCCTACAACTCCTCCCACTCAAGTGCAACTGCAATTTTCACCTATTTGTTATAAATCAGTTTACAGACAGTCTCTTTACATCAGAGACACAAAGATAAACATATTTTCAGAATTTTATTCCAGTTACAGAAGGATATTTGGAATCACATTTCCATGATATATGAAACCATCAATTTTCAAGTTATTCCACCACCTATTAGAAAGTTCTTATTTATAAATGCCATATTTTCTTGCATATAATATGCCTCAGAATAAGATCCGCATCTTGCTTTTGAAAGGCAGAATGAAGAAAAAATATTTCCTTATAGTAAGTAACTGAGTACAAGCAGCTACGGAGCAGAGCTTGCTCACTGTTCTGCTTCCTATGAGGTGTGTGCAGATTTTGTTTTCACTTTTGCTGGAAACTGTCGAATGGTTTTCATCTTCTCGCATATAAATCCACTGCAATTTCCAGCAGCTGTTTTTTGTGGGAACGGTGCGTAACATATGTGAAAAGATATGATATATAAACTAGCTTTGAAGTTGCTCATAGTGTCATTGCTCAGTGTTGTATTGCTATGCGACAGGCATTAAATATATGTAATCAAACCCAAAATCAAAACAAAAAAAATCAAAATTGGTGGACAAAGGTATGTTCAATTTGTACTCAATTATGAATCCTATTCTTAAAAGCTAAATATAACCTTTGTTATGGTCACAAGTAACCATGTTTTATTTGCTTACTGCATGCAACATGTAAACGGGACCTGCTCTACATATGCAGGTAAAGGCACAATAAGATCTAATGTGCTATCCACACAATGGTGTCACCTGCCATGCCGCACATGAATAGCAGGAGGTGCGATTGTAGGATCATGCATTAGATCCCCTCATGTCTACTGTTGTCACAAAGCAAGCTCCAGCATCTAGGAGACCATTTGTTGACAAGGCTCCCAGCACAGGGATGCCTCATGCACTTGGGGCTGGATGACTGCAGTTGCTGTAATCTCCAAGCCAAGGGAGCACTTGTGCACCCCCCACGGCTAGGAGATAACAGCAGTGCCCAACAGCTGCTGGGACTCAGAGCCTCCAAGGTGTGGACTCTGGGTCTCAGCAGCCATGGTGCTGCTGGAGCTGACAGTCCCCGCAGCTTCAGGGCTCTCAGTCCCATCTGCAAACGTGGGATTATGAAGTCCATGCAGCTGCGTGACTGCACCCCAGGTAATGGGAAATTGCAGCAGCTGCAGTCTCCCAGACACTGGGAACTACCTACACATTCCAACTGAGGGTGGATAGAAACAGGGAATAAAGTTATTACACATTTTCAAGCAGTAACTTTATAGCTGGTTTGAACTATTTAAGGTGCCATAGTTAATTTGCACATGTAGCCAGTCTAAATTTATTGTGCAATTAATCCAGTAACTGCAGAAAAATGTGTAAAGGGGGTCTTGCTGACTGACTGCATAAAATCAAGAAACTGTGGTAAACCTGCAATTTGAACAAAGCCAAAAAGCATTTTAGGTTTGAGTACCCTTCCCATGGAATATGAGGGTTTAGCTTGACCCAGTCCAGGCATTTCTATTACTACTGTAACTTTCTTTTTCATGGATTATGAATTCTCTCAAAAAAATAGTACAGATACATTCAGAGATGCCAAATACATTGGGGCCCAAGGTCCCTGTGTTCGGGAAGAGGGCTGTCACCTGAAATGCATAACACTTTCCACATGTCCATCATCTTAGCCCTCCCCCGGCAAAAATAAAAAGTCAGTGCCTATGGATACACTGTTGTCTTCAATAAAATTTTAAGCCCAATCCTTGCAAAAATGCACTAAGGAAACCTTATTAGCTTTCTGTTAGTTCAGCAACTTGATGAATACAACAGAGCTGGTAATCCTACTAAACCTGTTCTTCCTCAATATCAAACAGGTTTATACCATCTCTGCAATACTGACAACATCAAAGAAACTGAAGTTTGTAAGACAGATTTTTCTACATTTACACAATAATTCTTGACACAGGCCACACAAAATAACACTTACCAAAAACTAAGGCTGTAAGTAGAGCGAAGTATGCACAGACGTAAAGCTAAAAGCATACCATAACAAGGAAGTAGTTCTCCTTTTAACTCAATATCAGTTATTTTGACCTTTGAAAATTAAATTAATAGAACACATGGGAACCTACACAGGACAAGATGAAGAAGTTCTACTTTTTCAAGTAAGTAGGTCCACATTACTACAATTACATATACACTCATCTCACAGCAGTTTGTTATGAACATAAAGACTACATGGATCTGGAATGAAGACATATGAAGTAGCAGCATACCTACAGGCTGGGGAACTCCCATATCGGCAGCACAGAGGCAGAGAAGGATCTCGGAATCACTATTGATTCCAGGATGAACAAGGGCCGCCAATGTGGGGATGCAGTCGGGAAGGCTAACTGCACCTTGGCATGCATCCATAGATGCATCACGAGCAGGTCCAAGGAGGT